TACATGCACCCAAAACCCAACTTCACAGCAGAAGGGTTGCATTTTCGATGCGGGGGACGCTTCCTCAATAGGCGGGCCACCTATTTTGAATCGATGGGCTTGCAGTCCCCTTGGCTGCCTCAGCTTCTCCACTACTGCTCTGCCCTCTCCTCCACAAGTTACAAAGGTTGGACAATAGTACAATCCGTTCAGAGCTTCGGCAGTTGACAGAAATGTTGGTCTGGTCTAGTGAGTCTAGTGGATATCATTTTCTTTGGTCTGTATTCTGGCCTTGAAGGATATCGCTACACCTACAGCTTCTGCACTGACATGATCGGCAGAGTCTGTGAAGCCGTCAGCGGCAAGCGCCTGGCAGCTTGGCTTGGAGTTCCATGACATCTTTGGGATCATGGGAAACATGTCACGGTGAAAAGGTCACGGGCACATGTACACAGCACAACGCATGAGTTTGGGCTGCATTTTGCAGGACAAGTTTGTGAATGCAGCCCTTCTTTCGCCTCTGGGGATGCGAGACACCTTCTTCGAAGTGCCAGACCCTCGCAGCAAAAATGACAGACAGAGCATGTACTTCAGGGACGAAAGGCCGATACGCACAGTGTCTCCTTGGTAGGCTTTGCGCTTGGAAATGTTTCGGATTGAAGTTAGTCTGAGGCGAAGAAGAGGAAACGAGAAGCAGTCCTGTACGACTGCCAGCGAGGCGGTGGCGGAAAGTACGTGCCGAAGGCCAGCACCCATGCAATCTCCAATGCCAAGAGATGGTAAGCATGTCGCTGCAAGCTGCACTCAGCTTTAAACTGCCAGTTTTCGCATTAGACTAAGGTCTGGAGCCAGCCCGGAAAGGCCGTCCCGATCATGAGCGCGGGTGGAGGGATCTTGAGCTACAACGACGCCCGGCCATGTTCAGAAGCTAAGTGAAGCTGACAGGGCCTGCCTCGCAAGCTTGCAGGATCCGGGGATGTGGAGCACTGTGGAGGATTACGCCAAGTTCTGCCAGATGCTTCTCACCGGGAAATCCCCCAGAGGGGCAGTGATCCTGCGACCTAGCACCATGAAGGCTGGGAGACTCGGCAGACTCGGACTTTGAAAGCTTGTGACTGTTGTGCTCGTGAGGCGCTCTGGTCCGACAGCCTGGCGGTTTACGGGCAAAAGGCTGGGAGATGCTAAAAACCCATAGAAAGGTCACGTGAGTCCGAAGGTGCTCATTTCTGTGAGGATGGTCGTCTGCCTGGATGGCACGATGCTGATGGCAAGGCCAAAGGTGGTATGTGGGACTATACCGGCTGGTCGCTCTTGAAGCTTCTCGCAAAAGTCGCAAAAGAGCTTCACGTTGAGCTGTGTTTGTTGCCCTCGCGAGCGGTCAGGCGTGCAGCTAAGGAACACCCACTTGACCTTCAAGCAGATGCCATCACCGAAGCTAGGTTCTACAGTACCGCTTTCGCTGGTAGGAAGCAGCAGTGCACTTTGCAAACATGCAGCAGGCAAGCTGTTCAAAGCTCAGGAGCAAGAGAGCCCGGGTGGGACAGACCATGTGGATGGGAGGCGGGGGTGGTACTTTCTGGGTGGTGGACAAGGGCAACGAGACTTGCGCAATCTCCTTTTCGCAGAGCTTCGGTGGCCGTGCGCAGACTGACGCCGCCAAGGACGTTGCCAGCAGGTTTGATCGCACACGCGGAGCAGTGGGGAGCGTGGATTGCCATGTGCGTGCCTGCGAGGACGCAGCAGTCTTTTTGGAGGCTGCGTTGCATCCATGAAAGGCCAGTTCTGGCCTGGGATTTGGGCAGCAGGATGCTTACAGTAATTAGGATTGCAATGGGCTCTCGTTCGCAGCAGCATCTATAGTGAGAACAGATTTGTCATCACGAGTGCATTGTCGTGATGACCGAAGGTGAGGAGATAGTAGAGAGTGCAAGCGAGGTTGCATTACGCATCATGCGTCATCACGCCGGAGCTTAGAGAGAATAGTTTGGGATGGAGTTTACCACGATTGGTGGGCAATCAGCGGCAATCAATCCTCTCGTTATCGATTCAATCGTGTGGCGTGCAGAGGTGGCAACAAGCTGCGAAGGACAACCAGTCTCGGGCGTTAGCCGCAAGCTAGTGCAGGTCTTGCAGCATGATGCTCCCGATGGCCAGAGCCGCTCGATGCCTACGCATCCTGGCACAATCTGGAGGACGTAGACATCCGAATCCGTTTGGGGTATTCGTCAATTTCGCCAACTAATGCGGGCTTGGTTGGAGCCAGGAGCATTCGCACGCTGACTGTGAGCAGTCAGCAAACAGCAGCGAAGGACTTTATCTTTCAGCATCTTGCGGCTGCACGATCATGCAAAGGCGTGAGATTTCGAGGCAGTGTACGATGTTGTGTGGCCGAGTGCCCGTGTCCTGGCCTGCGCAAGTCGCGGGGTTGCCGACAGGCGCAAAAATCGTGTCCGGAGATCTCTAACTCGAACTGCTTTCCTCGGCAAAGCTTTAGCAGTGTCACTCATTGGGAGTGAGTTCAATGCCAGGGTCACGCGGACACCCCCCACGGTGTCCCAGATGACTTGCACGAGTCGATGCGTGAATGTGCCATGTTCAACTTTCAGCACTGGGCCGGCCGGGTAGAATCACAGGTCATCTCATCAGCTCTTCAGAGAAACAGTCAACTCTTTTACCCGACATATCCAGTTTCCCATGTTCGATCCATCGGACTCATAGCAGCAGCATTCGGGGTACCACCCAGCAAACCGAAGACTCCTGTGTGTGCCGCGCTCGGTGTGCCCAACGGCAAGGCGATTGCTTTCGCTGCTGTTTGCTGTCGCTGTTTGCAGCACTGAACGGTAAGTGTTGCTGACCGAATGCCTTGCAGCAATCGTAAGGCGATCTCAGGTTCCAAGTTCCGGAAAGAGAGTTAGCCTTCAGTCTGCGATCTCCTTCAGCAGGCCAATGCAGGCAATGCAGGCTCTGGCCCGGGGCCAGTCACAGCTCAATGCAACATGCCCAAACATGTGCAAACGCGGAAAGGCTCCACCCTCCGACAACCTCTACATTGCCGACCTTCCGCCGGGCTTCACAGTGCGGCTCCTGGGTCTGTTCTCATGTCCGCCATTTGTCGGGGGTTCATTGTCTGAAAGGGCTCCTGTCCGGGGCTTTTCAAGACATGCTTTGTACGTCGCTTTGGCAAAGAGTCTGAGCTCAGATGTCTGTATGCCACTCTCCTCCCCCGGTTATTCGGCCGCAGTGCCTGTTGAGCACATCTTCAAGTCCGGCTGCTTGTCAGTACAGGCAGAAAGCCTCCAAGCCATCTTCCAAGAGTGCCCGGCAGGGAAGTCTTCTAAAAATTCAACAGGTTCACGTCGTTGCAACTTCGGGCATATCTGCGGTCTGGACTTTCGAGGTACGGGAACATCTCCCAGTTCAAGCTCCTGCAGAACTCCGGCCCGGGCGGAAAGGCAGCAACTCACAGCTCTCGCACGCTAAGACGCCCCGGTGAGATGAGTTGAGCCAAGTGCTGACAGACCGCGGCTCTCGTGAGATTTCAGTCCGTCGAAGAGGCCTCCTGCCCAGGCCGCGAACAGAGCAGTTCACTCGGAGCCTTCTGACAGGCAACCTGGCTGGTGGAGAACTTGAATCACAACATTCCGCAAGGGCTGAGCTCTCCTGTTATCGTGAAGTGACCTATCTCCGTTCTCATCCGTGCGACTCTGACGTTCCAAAATCGGGCATCTGTTCTTCAGGTATGCCGACACGTGCGGGGCATAGGGAGGGCCTCTGGCCAATGAGTTTACCTTCCATCTCGGGGAGGAGCATACTTTGCGAGTCGTAAGCTTCATGGCGTGAGCGAGAAGGCTGTTGCACCGGAGCAATGGTAAAGGCCTTCAAAAGCGTTAGGTGTGCAACGGCCAGCACTGGCCACTGGCTTAGGCCGGAGATGAAAGCGGCCAAGCAGGGAGGCTTTGCGATGGCGACTCGGCCCCGAAACAGTGGAACAAGGAGCAAGAGAGGAGTGCTTCATAGTGCCTCTGTACTCTTCCACTTAGGCCACGTCGTACGGAAGCGTGAAAGGCATGGGAAAGGCCGAAGGACGGCCTGCAGCCATGAGTGTGTCATGCGCGATGACACAGCACTTCGTGAGGAAACGGAAAAGGTGCCGCTCGGGTGTCGCCGTATCCGTCCTATGGCAAAGGCCCGGGCCGGGTGACAAGTGACGGAGAACCGAAATCGACTTTTGGTCGCGCAGGCCAATCATGGAATTCCTGGGAGCCGGCCCCGATGAAAGGCCCAAGCCACGTGATTTCTGCCGAACCGAACCTCTCTTCTGCTCGCGCATGCTACCCAGGATTCAAAGGCGGAATGGAGTCGGGGCCCCAGAAGAAGCACAAGCACACGCAACGACAGTTTGAGGACATGGCTACTCTCACCGAGGAAGGGCAAGGGAAAAGGAAAGGGGTGCCCCATCAAGGCAGGCCGCGTCGAGTCCAAGAAAGCTCGATGGGGTCATTTGCAGTGCAGCCAATGTGAAACATCGGTCGGTACATCATGCTCTTTGCAGTTCGGGTTTGGTGCGTAGCTCCCAATCCGTCCTCAGCAGACTTACAACTCCACATGCGAGAGCTCCTGAAAAGCACACGCAGCCATTGCAGACCCTGCACAACGGGCTGCTGGAGGCACAGGCAAGCTGCTTCAGCGCTGTTCTCTGCCTTTAGGAGATTGCAGGATCAGGTTTGCAGCATCTCGTGTCGGCGTTGCATGTCCCGCCCTCCCTTTCCAGCGGCATTGTGTGTTCGGTGTCACTGGCAGCTGGCACCACCACCAAGGCACAGAAACATTTTCAGGAAGCACTCGTGCAGCAGATCGACATTGGTCTTGTGCAAACAGATCTGAACTTTAGTAATTTAGACATTGCTATTTTCCATCACATCGAGGGTTTAAGGATATCGTCCTCGTCTGTCGTCTCTGGAGTTCTTCCGGCCTAGACTGAAGCAGACAGGCTGCTGGCAACATCTCGACACACTTCAGGTTCTGCGCCTGTGAGAATTCGAAGCTAAGCCGGTTGCATGATGACTGATAATTCGGTCACGGTGGTGATGCTGATGACGACGACGAGGATGCTGCTTATGATGATGATGATGACGACGACGCTGACGACGCAGGAAGAATAATGGTACGACAATGAGCACGATGGTGCTGATTACGGATGACCTCGACGGGTTGTAGTATATGAGGCATTGCCTGGCTGCGGCGAGATTGACAATGACCGGAACGCGCTGTATGTGACATGGCCAGACAATTGGGGTTCGGGAAGTAAGGCATTGACATCTCTTACTTTCTGGGTCGAAGGTCTATAAGTCGAAAAGGCTGCTGTAGGCCGTGCATGGTGCCGAACGTGCTCGAAATGTGTTGTTCGGAGTTCGGAGCTCCCTACCTACCAAGATCAGCGGGCTCCCGAACGACACCGAGGAGATGTTGTTGCAGCTCCACAGTGTTTTGGCTCCAGCCCTCGTAGTGGAGTGAAAAAACACTGGTTCTGTTCAACTGGACTAAAGAGTATCCGGCATCCGGCAGGAAATTTCCTGTAGGTCTCTAACTTTGAACACTGCTTTCGTTGTAGATTCGTCTCGTCAGTAGAAGGACGGCCATCAATAGTTGGGACAGTGAGAGACTACAGAATGCAGGACATCGACCTGTACCGAATCTTCGCACCCTTTGGTGCCATTGCTCCGAGGGCCAGTGGCCCAGTCATGGGGTAGCGAGGCACGAGGCGAGCCCAGGTGCCTTTCAGAGGATCCTTCAGGCCTTCGTCTCTTGTAATCGAAGCACCATTGGCTTCTGCTATCCGACTATAGGGATTTTGGAGATTCAAGGATTCAAGATACTGTTCGAAGTTTGCGCAAAAGAGGCCGACAAGGCCAGACGAAGCAGGTCGTGAGAGCTCATTGTACAGACAGCTGAGAAGCTCTGCTAAGCCAAGCACATCTGTCGGATAGGGCTTTCTCCACTTTGTCTTGTTGACATTGTCGTTTGGAGTCACTTCCTGAACCGTACGTCGTTCAGGGCTTGTGGTGCTGTGCGACATGTGGCTATACAAGCATCGCACGGCTTAGTGCCCTCAGCTCCTCAGCTGTCGAAACCAGTTGAAGCAAAGACTTGAACATGGCCTCGAACAGATTTGCAGGAGTGAGGCATGTACACCGGGTATAGCAAGGGCCCTCGTCTATGTCAAATTGCATTGTCTGACACACCCCGGCAGCAGACGAATCCAGAATGCAAGAACACATGCCTCCTTTCCGTAGCACTGTACCCAGGGCGTGCGAGCAATGCGGCATCCGGATGGCACATGCCAAGGTTTTGGGCTGCAGTCTCAGCTATGTCGGATTCAGAGTCGTGCAGTTGTGCAGTGCTGGGTGGGCATTCGGAGGTCCAAGCTTAGTCTAACTTTCTGGCTGCAGCGCCTTCTGGCGACTTCCTGTCTGCGAGGTTCGTCAACTATTTGGAGTCTGGCTCTGTGCAGCTGGCTGCAGCCACGCTTCACGGGTGGGGCCTCCAAGCTGTGGTCGAATTCTTTACGCTGGGTGGTGATATCAGTGATGTCGGGTTTTCTGCCGTGGATAGGTGTAGCATGGTGTGCCCCTAGCATGGCGTGTTCGCTTGAGCACTGCAGTTCACACATGGGTAGAAAAAATCATGGCCCACAGAAAGGAATGAAACCGGGCTTGAAGTCACAACGACGTCGCACGCTGTCTTGCCTACGAATTTTTGCGCCCATGTGCAGACAAGATGCAGAAAATGGACGGCAGACAGCAGAAGAGACTTTGAGCTTATCCAGCCGACCATCGTTTCTTTGTTTTGACAAGTGAGAGGACAGCGCATGGTAACCAAGGCTCATGCACTGGTGTGGTGGTGTGTTTTGGTTGTTTTGTTTCAAGCGCAGCGGTCGAGGTTTTCAAGAGACCCTTGGACCTTTCCGGCCTGCAGAGCATACCATGGCATAATATTTCAGTTTCGCAAAAAGTAATTCTCCCCACTGCGACAGGACACAGATGCCTGGTGGAGCAGAGCTTATCGTGAAGCCGAAGGACGGGTTGACATTCTCTTGGGAGATGCAGGAATGGCAGTGCCAAGCTGATCCCCGAAGCCGCTGCCATGCAACACATTTTCGAGCTTTTGCAGTCTTTAAAACGGCAATGCTCCGCAAGATTCGCACCTCTCTGAAGGAGCCCGGGAAAAAGAAGCAACAGCAGAACGGACTGGAAGGTGCCCAGTGGGATTCAACCTGCTTCGGGAGGGTTGTCAGGATTGGATTTGCGCTATGGAATTTCGGCCGCCGCTCTTCCGTCAAGAAGTGACAGCATCTGACCAGCCTGGACGCCAGGAACTCCGGTGGCTGCGCAAGGCTCCTGGGATCTTGCCACCCAAGCCCTCAAGTGAAGATTCAGACATGGTCAGTGTTGACTTGAAGCTGGTTCTTGCCTGATTTCGATCCTTGCCTTGTCGTTGCTGAACACATTTTCCCGCAGGATGATGGCAATGAGGTGTTTCGCCTCCAATGTTTTGAGCTGGGTAGTATGAGGCTGGCGGCCTGAAGACAGGAGTCTACGTCGAGGGGTGGAATCTTGCTCGCGTGGACTCATCCCCACCACCCATTCCAGTGCCCCTTCTCTAAGGGATTCCAATCCAAAGGGTGCGAGGTCTGCCTCACGGCAAGTTGAAAGGGCTGCCTCGCTAGATAGCGGGGAATACGGCTGGAAAGTCTTGGCTCTTTCTTACCCGCATGCAGAACGTGATGCCTCCGAAAAAAAGACTCGATGAAGTATCCACATACAAGATACAAAGGGACATGCAGGTGTTGTGCATTAGTGGCAGTGGAAGGCTTCGTGTGGTAGCTGCACCAAACCTCTTGCAATGCTTCCACGCAGAACCCAAGCAGTTTCCGAGCCCACATACACTGCGGCAGGCCCTCGTGTGTTCAGTCAAACAACGTGTCCCTGAGCTGTTGACTTTTCGGCTCTAGCTGATAGGCTTTCCTTACTCACCAGTACTGTGGCAGCTTGGCGGAAAGAGACGCATGTTTGGCAAGCTTGACCATGAAGGATGTTTTTCGTGCTACTGGACAGTGACAGACTTGAAGCAGAAATTCTGTCTCAAGCTGTCAGAGAGCCCAATCATTTGAACTTACAGCCTCAAGCGAAAAGACTGGAGCTCAGAAGCCTGGAAGCCATTGGAAGCCATGGACCTCGTGGCATCCTTCTTTCGCACAGGCAGTTCGGTGAGTTGCAGTGATTGCATGGAGCACGGGAGGCGAGGGGTTCCTTCAAAAGCCCTGAAGGATGATTCCAAACAGTTGAAGTAAGCACTATAAAAAATGCACAGGCAGCGAAACATGCACCGCACTCGCACGCACGCACACACACACACATGCATACCTATCAGAAGCATCAGTGTGTGTGTGTGTGTGTGTGTGTGTTTGTGCGCGTGTGTATATATATATATATAATATACACACACGTGCACACATGTACATATACAGACTAATTATAAACTTATGTTTTTCATGTATGTATGTATTCATGTATTCATGTATGTACATGCACATCGCGCATATGCATGGGAGAACAAACAAGATGGGCAGCGATGCTCCCGTGACGGGTGGCTGCAAGAATGACAAGGCCTGACAAGAAGGTTGGGCATGGACAACCTGAAGTCCGTCACCCTTCAACACTTTGCCGGAAGTGCTACAACGCATCCGTGTAAGACTGAGCCCCAAAGCTGCAAGCCTGCAAGCCTGTCCGGAGTTTTGGTTGAGTTTCGCAGACTGGACAGCTGCGCAGGTGTGGCCTCCGCTCGAGGTCTTCGACGTTCCCTGCGTCGAGGTCCCTTCCGCTGGGCAGAGTTTTACGCCGGCCACCTTCTGCAAGGATGAGTACAACGGATTGTCACAACTAGAGCAGGCTTCCTTTGCAGTGTCTATGTGGTCAAGGCTGGGTGGGGGATCTGAAGCTGCTAAGCATCTGTCGGACATGCATTCCTGCTGCAGGAGCGATGTCTCGGCTTTTACGATGGCCTGGCAGCATGCCTAGCGAATCCATCCGGGTGAGCATGGTGCTGTTTTCTGACCGCCAAAGTGTGGGCAGCAGAAGGCACCTGAGTGATTTGGTGCACCACGGACATGCCCTCTGTGGCCGAGGCTGACATCTTGAACTGCCAGAAGCGGCGCCAGCTGCAGTGGCGGCGGGCAGCTACCTGAGCAAAGGCAGACGAGTGCCTTCCCACTTGCTCCTGGGGTTTTTTGATATGTGTACTAACTAAGGAATGCTGCGTGGCCAGCTTTCGTGTGGGCCTGAGCCAGAGGTTCTTGTCGTTAATCCCAGCCGTCCCAGCCATTTAGATCCTTGGAACCTTTGGAAGGAACGAACCAGTATGAGGTGGGAGAGTCATAAATAGGCTGCCGTCAACGTAGACCGGGTTTCAAGTTTCCCGCTCTGTGTCAGATATTGTATTGTGTTGCATCAGGCACGAACTCCGGAGCACTTGCCGCAGCAAGGCCCGCTGATAGCCTCGGCTGGTCCTTCTTTTCGTCGTTCAAGCCTTCAACTTGAGGACAACCAAGCCGATGGTCTACGATTTCACTGAGTTCCAGCACGGTGAGCCGTCTGACAGCTTGCCAGAAGCAGATTGACCAACATTTGTATGTCCGGTGCAGGGCGTGATAGAACCCGCGGCATGCGCACTCTTCGAAGGACCAATCTGCTTCGAGAGATCCTCTAAAGTAAGCGGTTCAACGCAGAAGCGGCCAATGAGCCTGCAACGCTGGCATCGAGAGACTCCACCGTCCTGCGCTGAAGCGAAGCGAGAGACTCTGCCGTCTCCCAAGTCGCGGTAATTCTCGGATGGGATGCCTCCGATGGCGCTCGGATTTCTCCCGGGACTCCGTGGCCTTTCCAGAGTCCAAACGGGGTCCAGCCCAGCCCAGCCCAGCTCTGCGCTGAAGCGCCGAAGGTCGGAGCTTTATTCGCTTCTGCTTGCATTGCTTGGCATTGCTTGGCATTGCTTGGCATTGCTTGGCATTGCTTGCGCTTCTCTCAGGATGAAGCCCCGAGCCCTGCTTGCAGTGCTTGCAGTGGCAGTCCTGGCATGGGACCCGGCCAAGCGGCAGCGTTGCCATACTGGGTGCAGTGTGGCGTAGACTCGCTTTGTTTCGATCTTGAGCTGAGGCCTTGAGATGGAGCTCCTGGAGTTTCCTAGGCCCTGCGCACGGGTTGGCACTTGATGCATGGTGTTATCCGTTTATCCAAGCCTTCACGCAGGCATTTCGACATTTTCTTTTATGCGGACCTTGATCAGAGGTGCTGGCTCCAGATCACCTCGGCGCTGCTGGGCTGCAAACCCGTTGTGGAGGTGCAGCAGATGGCAGCCTTGGCAAGCCCACACACAAAGGCACCAAGAAACTTCAAGCCGGTCTTATCTCCCAAACTCTTCATTGGCCTTCCTTGCAACCTCCTAGGTGCACTCTCGAAGCGACGTGCCGCCGAGGATGATCAGCTTCCGGAGGCCCTGGGACTTGGACCCTTGAAATGACAAGCCACGGAAGCCTACTAGTAGCCAAGGCACCACCCGGCGGGCGGGTCATTCACGTCGAGTATTGCTGCAGCCTCGACTGCTAGACCTTGTTAGACACGGATACATACGGATATAAACTGATTGCTAGCAGCTGCTGTGAGAATCACTGAGTCAATTGGCATGCACAGTTTTCGTTGTCGACAGCCTGAATCGTGGTGACATCCAACCTGTCCGAGCATGAGAGATTCTGCTGCGCCCACAGAGCGGCCCTCTACTTCAGGATTCAGGTCCGCTTGGACAGCAAGCACAGGAACATAGCAGATAGCTTTCACTTTGCATGACCTTTGCACTTTCTTGCTTGGCGGCGCGAAACTGGGGTCAGTTGCCAGTGCGTGATTTCGCACTGGTATCGCAACTCCCGAGCAACGGTTTCTGCGATTTCTACAGGGATGATAAGAGAGGGGTGGACCAGGACGGGATCCCGCACTACACACGCGCATCCTCACAGCTGATGCGAGAACACACATCCTCGCCTTCAACAATTTGGAGGGCAGCGGTGACGATGAGGAGAAAAAGCAGAAGAGAAGAAAGGATTCGGGAGAGAGCTCCTAGAAGCTTTGCATGGTGACGGGCGTGCAAGGACCTTGTGCAGGAGAGGAGTCGGTCGAAATGTCGTGGTGAAGCGGTTGAGCATCGAGGCCGGAAGGCACTGGATGGTTCGTTGGATTTGCAGGGAACCGCGCCGGGCCGGGAAGGTACTGCTTGTTCGAGGGCCGGCGGGTGCGAAGGCTCGTTGACAAGTTTAGGGGCAAATTCTTTTGGGGAGATCGCGGCCGAGAACACGCCCAGTATCGCAAGCCAAGCGAGTCTGCCAAGCCAGCCATTTTGCATAGGCCGCAGAAGGCGAATGAACCGTCGCCCTGTTGGAGGAGATAAATTTTCGGTGGCGTGGTTTTGAAGAACTGGGACAAGCTTATTGTCCGACGTCCCAGGACAAATGTTACACATGCCAAGTCCAGTGACAAGCGGATGGAGCTTTGATCGACGGAATGCAGAAATTCGCTGATAACGACGATAAGAAAGTGGGAACGAATGGGATTGCGCTTTCGAATTTGCGCCGCTAAGCAAGAAAGGTCATGCAAAGTGAAATCTGCTATGTTTCTGTGCTTGCTGTCCAAGCGGACCTGAATCCTGAAGTAGAGGGCCAGCAGAATCTCTCATGCTCGGACAGGTTGGATGTCATCACGATTCAGGCTAGTTAGTTTTTCCCTTCGTTGTCGCCATCCAGCTCCTTTGCCTCCCGTACTGTCACCGGTTCCCCATGCACGGCATTGCCGGCTCAGGCAACGACTGCAAGTTCCTTCCGCGCTATCTCAAGCTGAGGAAGGCTCAAGATCACAGACCGTTGGAGTGAGCTGTGGGTTGGCTAAGGCCGTTCTCAGGTTCGGTGCTGTAAGTGCAGGAAAGGTGGAAAAAGACTAGTTTTGGAGGCAATGGCAGACCGCTTTGGTGAGCGGGTCCTCTGCTTTGGCAACCACGAGGAACTCCCAGAGCTGTCCTAAACCAAGTGTTGGGAATTTGCTTTCTTGCATATTCGAAAGGAGACTTTGCAGGAACTGTGCAGGACTCCCAAACCGCGCTCGAAGCTGAGTGGCGCAGCGCGCAAAAACCGAAGTGGTTCGAACGACAGTCCTGGCATCGCAGATGGATACTGTCCGTCGTAAATCAGAGCTCAGGCGCCGGCTCCTTTGAAGTGGTCGATATGCAGTCGAAGAAGTGCCCTTGGCGAAGTTTTTCCTGCTTGGCTTGTGCTTTAGGCGTCGAGCCGGTTGAAGCAGAAAATCACACATATTTGAGGGCCCACATCAGCTTGGGAAACACGTAGGCTCGAATTGTACCGGTGTTGGAGCTCTTGCTCTCAGTTCCGGCCTGCAGGTGTAAAGCCCTCAGTTCAAATGCCATCTTAATCTTGTGCAGAACGGGTCTTTTTCGTCCAGGTGCCTCTACACAAAGCTCGGCAGCCTGAGCCTGAGGTTTAGGCCCAGTGGAACGGGGTGGGAAGAAAGTGTTCTCGCGATTTCTCAGGTGCAGGCCCTATCACAGTAGCCAGGAATAGCCAGGAGATGGTTGTTTGAGCTCCAGTCTGCCCCATCGAGGTGGGCTCCACGTCACCGAGAGGCACCAGTAATTCGCCACGAGACCGTGGTAGAAGCACAGGGAGGAGAATGTGCTCCCTTCATGCCCACCAACTGATGACATAGGACCACGGACCACGCATGGGGAGAGCAGGGACGCTAGATGGCTCCTTTGGGCTCACAGGCAAGAGTGGATGGACCAGCTTTTCGATGAGATTGAAGCCCTTTGCGAGGCTGCAGTTGTTTCAGCGTTCGTAAAAGGGACAATTCCAACCAGAAAGTCAAAGCCAGGCCGGCTGAAGACTTGGAAGCAGGCCTTGGAACAAGCCGCATGTGAAGGATGCTTCTGGGATCTTAAAGGTCCATCATAGGCGCCGTGTGGCAGTGGAATTGGCTTTTAGATTCGTATGCGCTTGTGATTTGTGTTGATCGACTTCGAGCGAATCGGCGCTAGGGGAGAAGCTGTGACATCAAGTTAGAAGTTAGAACACTCCAATGTGTGATGCACTCTGTCTGCGCGGTGCGATGTGAACAGTCCGCGCAAACTCTGAGAATTTCTCTCATTCTCTGCACTCTGGGATCACTGTTGTCTGTGTTGAGTCCGTTTGCAGATCTTCCTAGACATTTGCGAGAATGTTTAGCCCAGTTTAGCCTGCGATGCTTGGTTTCCCGATGAGCAGAGTGCAGTCGATTGGGTTGAAAGGACAGGGCATCAGAGCAGAGTAGAGATCAGGCGTGAGCTTGCGCAGGTGGAGCCCAGTGAGAGCATCCGCCTTCGTGTTAATGTTCGGACGCGAGGATCCTGGTCACTGCCTCTCCCGGCGATCCACAAGAGGTTTCAGCTAGGACTTCCTCGCATCCGCTGCTAACGACGTCTGCAGGAAACATGGCAGGACATCCACCAAGCTAGCAGGAGTAGGGGCACAGCAGCTTCGCGCCTGCTATTGCTGCCGCTGCTGGATACCCTGTCTTGTCTGCACAGACATCTCGCGGTGACGCATAGGCAAAAGAACTCCAGCCGCATGCATCCGTTCCCTTTGATCGCATGGCTTTTACAGGTCCCAGGATCTCCGGGGAAGCCATTACTCACCCGAAGTTACAGGAAGAGCAGCTGTTGCACGGTTGGATTCCAAAAAAGTCCTGATACACGGGCAACGTGGACCTCAGGCGAAGTGCGCATGCTGCATGAACGATTTTGCAAAGGTTCCTCCAAACCACGGGAGCATTGGTTGTGCCGCAAATTCAACTGCAATAATGCCTTCCCTGCGTTTCGGCTCTGCAGATAGATTGCAGACATTGAATGCACCTACAACTGCTTGAGCACTCCCTAGTCATTCAGCCGACAGCCCCACTCAGAAACAGCACGCTTCAGTGCATCGCGACTCAGATTCAGAATTCTGTGACTCAAGTTGTTTGATTTTCTTTTCCCCAGCCAGTTCAAGAGTTCAACCCCCATCAATTCAGTCCACAAGCCTGCGGCAGCCTACATCTAAGTCTCGTCCAAGCCAAAGGGATTTGCCGCTAAGTTAATCGTTGTAACCCCGATTGCCTTCCTCGGCCCAGCATGGACCAGGAAATCACCGAGGCAGCTACAGTCAAGGCACAGTTGCTGTTTCCAACGTCATGCTGCAGAACCTTCAGTTGGGGAAGGAAGCTGTGGTTTTCTCTTGTCGCAGTGGATCATCTTTCGAAGTCTATGCCTTCTTCCTTTTACAACATTCATTGAAGGCACTTTTCTTAAGCCGCTGCCTGCTAGGTGAGCATCAAGGATGGCAAGATGCGAGAGCTCAAGGCAGTGGACGATGTTTCGCTGCAGAGGTGTGATGTCGTGAGCCGACGTGCTTTGTGACTATGACTGTCGGAGGCGGCGATGGTTGCACGCAGCTGTGAGGCATCTTGGGGCCTAACACCATCAGCGGTCTCGTTTGGCAGGGTTTCGTCCACATTCCTACTGACAGGCATTCTGCAATCAGCAGAAAAACAAGGGAAGCTCGACATGACAACGACTGCTCTGAGAATCATCTGATGCCATATTCACTTCGACTACATGGCTGTTTTGCTGCCGCGCTTCCTACGAGAAAGCGAGCACGATGAAAGGACGTAGAATCACGTGCCGCTGTTTCAGGACATGGAGCCTCTGCGCATGGCCATCGAGCGTGGCCGGGAGGTTGCGCGATTGAGAGTTGAATAGAGGTGAAGGCTGATGGACCCGCAGGAGGAACGATCGTCGTGTCTCTTTTGGGACCCCGGCAACGTGAATATGCCATGTTCGTCACAAGATTCGCTTCCTGTCAGGTAGGGCTCGAGCGGTCGGAGATTGACAATGCGGTGCGGATCCTGCACGACTTGGAGGCGCGATGTTGTGGCTGGGCGGGAGTGACTCACATCGCGGGTTGCGAGGGGTTTTCGCAGCAACCAGACCTGCATGGTACGTGTAGAGCAAACCCTTCGCTGGCAGTTGCGCACCCAAGCCGTCGCTTTCACGGATGTCCCGCGGTCTGACATTCTCAAGCTGCAGGCCGTGCTTGGCATATCTGGGCATGGATGTGATGATCAGGATTCAAGTTGATGACTCGTGGTTCCTAAGTCGTTCTATGCATGCTGTACTTCGCGCGGGCATTGCGAGCCAATCAGACTTCGAGCTGTTGAGATCCATGATCTGTCGCACTCGTACTTCGAGTATCGGGGATCGTGCTAAGTGAGCTGTAAGCTGTAAGACAGAAGTTGACCGAAGTGGCGTCTTGGATGCATGTAAGCTGCCTTGAAGCTGCTTTCTGGGGGCTGCAGCAAGCCCACATGAAGGGTCGGACCTTCCATTGTGGGCAGAGTTCTGCAATAGAGCTCTGGAGCGGTGGCTGTGGCTGGAGGCCTGCAGTTCTCGGGATGAGATCGTAGAGTCCTTGAAGACTCTGATGAAGCTGAAGGACAAGGCAGAGGGCAAACGGGCGAAAGGGGCGGAGCTCCGACGAGCCGGCCTTTGACGCAGGATGGCTTCAGGGCCGAAGTCCTCGCCGAGTTTCATTTCCAGAACTTCGTGTCGGGTCCCGAACTGTGGCCAGTTCTTCCCAGTCTCAAGAGATTCGGACCTCTTCTGGGCGCGGTCTCGGAGGTTCTGTCAAAAGCAGGGCTACGGACCTGAGAAGGCGCAGAAGCGGGCCGTTCTCTGTGGTTTTTGGGGGGGCGGGGGGGGCTCTCCAGCCCAGGCCTCCGCGTTGCTCTCGATGATGCGCGTCCTCCACTCGCAGACCGCCGGGGCCCCCGGCCTTGGAGCTCTCGCGGCAGCGGCCAATCAGCCGTGTTTGGATGAGAGGTCGTCGGTAAGAAGGACATCGAGGAGGCTGGGTGAAAGATCAACAACTTTCTCTCATGATGTATGCAAGCACCGGCTGTGAGGCAAAATCCTTGCTGGAAGATCTCCTTGCCAGGCCGAGCGCCCACATTTGAGAGCTCGTTGCGGCATGCTCAGATGTTGTCCTCCGGCCAGGCATAGCCGCCAGCTACCGCCGTTCAGTTTCTTCCTCAGCGTCCTAAGTGGTCACCCTGATCGGTCTCTTATGCTTGAGAAAATCGGCTTTGCCTGGTAGGCGTGGGCATCTTCTCCCAGGAGGAGGTGGCATCGGTTCCCGGGCAGAAACTGCGGACTCGGAGCTTCAGAAGCCGGTGAGTGCACACGGAACTGAGATTCGCGACTACGCGACGAGGACGGCATCAAGCTTCCTAGCTGCGACTAGCTTCCTGCGCTCGAGTTGGAGCGCAGAGTCGATAGAAGACATCTGCGATACTTCGCGAAAACTCCTATTCCTTATGGCCTTGCAGGACTTTTCTTCGACACTTCAAGATGTTTCAGTTCATTTACCAGCAGTGCAAGGCGGGAGCTCCAAAAGCCGGGTCGGGCGGGGCGTATACGTAGTGTTGTTGCCAGGACCTGCGCATTCGAACGATCGAAAGCAGGGTGACGGCACGGGCAGTGGCCTTGGAGAGCCTAGCAGCGCCTAGCCCGCTGTCCGGAGCGAAGCTGCTTCGCTATAATTCAGGTTCCGAGCCTGGCGCCACTCCACACCGACTTCGAGCTCAATCCGCACGAGGCAGTCGTGCTCTCGCGCCACTCTTGCACGAGAGTCGAGACGAAATCGATGAGAGGTGCCGCAGCTCCAGGAGTTCCTACGCTCTGAGGCCAACGCGACAAGTATCCTTCTCAGCTCTCAGCTCACGCGGCGCTCGGGTGCAAAACGGTGCAGGCCTCGGAAAAGGTCGTCGACAGCAAGGAGGAGGGCGCCAGGAGCTTAGGTTAACGTCGTTCCTTGATTTTCATGGCTGTTCCCATTGCTTTTCAGGCCGGGGTGGAGGCAGCTGATCGGCGCCGCGTCCCACAGAGTGCGGCAGAGGCTTGAACACTTCAGGTCGTTATCGGTCTTCGCGATAGCGCCTGTTCCGTTCGTCGTTTTCCATTTGGGATTGGGCTATGGCCTCAGACATGACAGATATGAAAGGGTTTCCAGTTTGCGAGGCAAAAGTGGCCGAAGTCATGGACGAAGTGCTGAAGGCCCGTAAGTCCGTAAGTAGTTGCTGATCAGCGATTCCGGCTTCCCTTTGGCAGTTTATGCGCACACACACGCATCCCGCATACCAGCTTCTGGGGTTCCAATTGTTGCGAACGGGCTCGGATGTAGGCAAAGGGTGAGGTGCCGCCTTCAAAGCTCAAGCTCTCCTGGATGAGTCGAGAACTGTGGTCCCGACCGCCTTGCAGAACCACCTCGGAAACCTGGAGTCGCGCATGGCGTTGCCCACTTGAGCTGCTTTGCCGGCCATCTCTAGGTGCTACCCAAGCCAGCGATAATCAACGCCCTTGCTTCAATCTTCACTGTCAGAGAAATTTCGACGAAGGTCTGCAATTATAAATACACACAAGCCCAAAAAAACGTTTCACCCGAGGCATGCAATTCCTGGATGTCCTGGGTAATACCCCGGGAAGCATGGTTGTTGCAAGAAGCGCAGTGCTTTGCTTGCTTGTCCAGACTGACGGACTGTTTGCTCCTCTCTCTCTCTCGCTGTCGCTACTTTCTTCTAAGAGAAGCCTTGGCGCTTGCGGCTTGAAGAAGGAGAGGATCGACTGCAGCCATTTGGGCAGAGGTTGTTATGCCCCCTACATCCGGAGCCAGCCGCAGAATGGTACAGACGCTGGGACGCAGGCAGCTTGTTGATTTCATCGACCGTCTGAAATCGTGCGAAGGCGCATCTTCAATGTGTTTGCTGTCCTACAGCTTGCGACCGCGGGCTGCCCTCAGGGCCCCAGCGACGCCTGTGATGGAGGCTTGCGCTTCCAAGAGAACTGAGCAGCTGAGTTGATTGCACCTGAAGGTGCCAGCGACGGTGCTGCATTGCTTCAGGGGCATCGACATCAACGCATCGCAACCCGACATGGTCTTTACTGTGTAGGAAGTCCAGGCTTCAACGCTGCGAGCCTTGAGCCGAAGATTAGTTTCTGCTTTGGTGCTGGTCGGTTCGATCTCTTCACATGTACCCTTCTGTCGAAGGAGCGAAGCCCACCTTGACTCTCGCACTCTCGGACTCTCCGAGGCGTCTCCGAGGCGTCTCCTTGCCATGGAGGCTTGCTGCACGCTAGGTTTTAACGGCCCCGTTCTGTGCTGCCCCTAGCTGTGTCGCCAAGGTCAACACCACCCGACAACGTGGCCGCCCACGTGTCTCTAAAGGCGCTTTCTCAGAAGCTCGGGGCCTCAAGGGCCTGTGATGGAGGTTTGAGCCTTACGTCTCTCCGGTGCCGAGGTCTCAACAGGAGCAGAGTTCCAGATCGACGAGGCACCTGGGCCATGTGCCAATGTTCGTAGCAGTGCCTCACAGCCCGGGTCCTGTCAGGACGGAGTCTGGAACACTTATTTCCTACCTGGTGCAACTATTATTGACAAGCGCACGCTGGAGTATGGCATCAATGACAAGTACTACCTTATGTAGCTTGGCTTTTCGAAGCCGTAGCGGATTGAACACGTGGAGGTTTGATTGGCTAAATACAGTGGCAAAGACTTCCATGAATGCGCCCGCATCTGCTTTGGGCTCCAATGCTTCTACACGCTGTCTTCACGACAGGAATCACATGAGATTCTGTTCGATGTCAGGAAGTACGACACCACGGACACGTGCAAAGCCGGAAACTTCGAGATGCTCAAGCTGCCAGGGAAGACCATCACAGCGACCGTTTATTTGCTCCTTGGCATGAACCCATAGCGAACGAGCAGCTGGAACCGACATCTGCTGTGATCAACGCCTTTCAACGCCAGAGCCCTGCACAAGGAACGGGGCTGGTTGTGGCTGCAACGCCGCTTGGCAAAGCAGTTGCAGTTTCGATTTCCAGATCTTATTAATTTCTACTGCTACGATGGTTCCTTCAGAGATTCTCGCAGGCTATGTTGCAGTGCAAGTCGCAGATCATGCTTGACCGAGAGATTGTTCGTGAGGCTTGCAGAGGGCATGTCGGGGCCTTCCCCTTCCCAAGTTTCCGGCGCCAAGATTCGACGCATAGGGTGCGGCTGGCACGGCCGAGGTGAATTTCTTCTTGGTGGCAATGCCGGCATCGTCGCTGGGATCCTCGGCGAGTTTTGTGTGTTGAAACTGCTGGAGCTGGACATGCGGCGTTTTCGGAGAGCCGTTTGGAATGTGCTGCCTGAGCCATCCAGGCGAGTACGGTGACTGCTACTGCGATGCCAACTGTGTGGGTGGCAACTGCTGCAACGAGCCTCGGCTTCTGAAACAAGAGAAGCCTCCAGCGTTGATGCAGTTGTCGTTCTGCAACAGGAATTTGACTTGAACGAGATGAACACTCATGCGGTGCAGGCAGCACAGCGTGACTTCCGAGCAAAGGAGGGGGTCTGCTACGTAGTGTCTCCCCTCTACGCGCTTTCGTGTTGAGCTTGTCTAGGAAGATCGTGATATAGAAAAACGCATGCCACCTGACGCCCACTTTTCGAGGATGGGCAGTCGTCTCAACCCTTCACTTCACAGGTCACAAATCATCTCTGTGGAGATCCGCCAACGCATGAGACCTGTGACGGCAACGGAAGTCCGGTCATGAAGTTCCTGAGCTAAGTCGACGGGTCTTGATTCGTGCTGTCAGGATGTGATTCAGCATCGCATCTGTCTGGGCAAATGAATGCGGTGGTTTCCGCTGTTGCATTGTCTTCGTAGTGCATGCTTCATGTCACCAGTCTCCTCATATGCTGATCCAAGTTTCTCACCGAATTTGTTCGGCCCGGGAAATGGAAACACCATCGACACAGAGCACCCCTTCAACTATTCAGACTCTTGGTTGCACGGATGCTTCATTGGCTTCCTTGTCGTCGTTGGAGTCGCCAGCCTTAGATTCAGCGTGCAGTCAGATCCAAGATGGACCAAGTTAAGATAGTGATTCCCTTGCTGGTCATAGTCCCAATCTGTAGGATGGGACATCTGCTTTACTCATCCTCTGGCCAGGTCCAGTTTCGAGAGGTGATCTATTCGGAGCACAACCAAAGCAATCACCTTGTCGTCACAGCGACGATTCGTCAGGCGACTGTGCTTGGGTGCTGGGTTCGTGCTATCACCTCGATCTTCGCATCGATCGAGTCACCCGCGTGGTTTTTGAAGGAGGAATCAGGGCTTCGGGCCGCGATTCTCAAAAGTCACGGTGGCTCTTCAAACTCCGTGTGGTTCAAGAGAAGACAGCCGGGCTGCGGTTTGTTTTGCTTTCCCCAGTCTAAGTAACCTTTACGACGTGGGAGTTCACAGGGTCCGGATTCTGCTATCGAGACTGGATATAGACATCTCCTTTCCACCAGCTGTGCTGGAATCGGGGTTCGGTCTTGGTAGAAGTGGTGGCCATGGATGTCAGTAACGGTGGCATGATTCCGGTTGTTTACTTTTGAAAAGCTTCTTCGGCTCCGCAAACGAGCGACTGGGAAAGATTTGCTAGATGGTTATAATCATGCAGAGGGGCACGAAGGAACGCATCCCAGACCCTATCCTGATTACGGAAGTAAGTGCGTGCATATTTTGGTTCGTTTGCCTTCAAGAACTGCAGGAATGCACATTGTCAAAGGTGAGGAGGCAACATGCTTTCTTGGGTAGCATGCCCCCTGCATCTCAGTGTGGCGTGGTTGATGGCTTGGCAGAACTTCGGCTTCCTTGCACTCACGTACGTCTTTGTGTGTGTGTGTGCGTGCGCGTGTTTGTGAACTTCCCTAGTTAGCAGCACATGGGAATAGAGGGTCACTCCTCTTGGGTAGGTTGTACCAAGCATTGCAGTGCAGCTTCTTTGACTATGAGTGATTTGCAAGGGGGTACGGCTCTCTGATGCTACCGCACCCAACGAAGCCGTGCATCAGAGAGGGAAGCCGAGCTTGATCAGCTTGGTGTACCTGCTTTCGGATTAGCCAGTGGGCCCCCTGTGGCACTGGAGTAACCAAAATCTAGAGTGAAGCTTGCAGCAGCAGCCATCATGTCGGACTGCAACAACCCGCCCCCAGCGTGGGTCCCGGAGACTTCAGAACAACGGCTTGCCGTCATGGCGCCGTGGTGGCCCTGCGGGGTAGCTCGCCAGGAGCGAGATATTGGGCTGATCCTTGGGCTGACGGGCTCGGGCTGACACTCCCAGGCGCCTGTTCTGTACGGGCTATCCGGAACTAATACGGGCGATTATTGCTAATACGCTGTCGGCATGAGTCTCTGACATGAGTGCATGTGAAGTAACTTTCTGCGGCTAATGCAAGGGCAGTTGCACAGGTCTGCCTCGGGTAGTCTGTCTCCTAATCTTTTTCCTCTTCACCCAGGGAATGCAAGTGCATGAGTTTCTGACATGAGAGCATGCGCAGGGCAGGTGCAGTAACCATCGGCTAATGCGTCTCCCCTGCGGGGGAAATCGGCAACTCCATTCTCTTCTTTGCCCTCGACATCCCTCGACCCAAGACGACCACCAGCGGTCACACTGGCCAGTTTGTTTTGCTTTGGTTTGTGCCATCGGCCGCGCGGCTGCTGATGCTACTTCATGCAAAGCAACATGATGTTACCGCTGTCTGTGACACAACAAGTGCCACAACAACCGCAACAACAACCTATGCCCAGCATGGTGATTTCCTCAATTCGACGCATACACAATTGCAACACACGTGGCAACAACCAATGCAACAGATGATGCAACAGCCCATGCAGCAAATCTCGCAGCCCTCCATGATGCAAGCACAAGGGCAATACACTCTGCCACAGATGACCTCCCAGAAATTTCAGCAGCCATCAGTACCGACCATGCAGTTTTCACAACCTGAAGCACAGATGCAACCAGCTGCATTGCAACAACAAGTGTTGCAGCAACCAATGCAACATATCATGCAACAGCCGATGCAGCAAATCATGCAGGCAACCCTACAGCAATCCATGCAACAACCGCAGTCACAGGCAGGTCCGAACCGTGTGCAGATATGGGTCATGCAGCCATTTATCCCCAGCCGACCACAACCACAACTTTCATTCATTCCGCACGGCAATATTTCCGTGCCCCTCACAACTTCCACGGCACTCATGGTCATGACAACCAATACTCCACCACTTGTTCCCACTCCACCGACTATCCATTACATCAGCACACAAACATCACAGTTCATGCGGAGCCGAGAAAAGGAAGCTGACCCTGCTTCATACACACTCTACAATCAGGACTTTGCGGGTTTTTCACATCAGTGGATACAAGCCGTTTTCTGGTCGCATACCACATCATGGCGCGCGGGTACCAAGCAAAAAACGATTATCACC